GTTTTGGACTTTGAGAGTTTTTTCACCCTGAAAGCTATTTGCAACATACTGACTGACTGACTGAGTTTGGTTTTACGCCGCTTTTAGCAATATTCCAGCAACATCACGACGGGGGACACCAGAAATGGGCCTCACACATTGTGCCCATGTGGGGATTCGAACCAGGGTCTTTGGCGTGACGAGCCAACGCTTTAACCATTAGGCTACCCCACCGCCCTTTACAACATACAATGTACATGTTGATTCAGCCTTCCTTGTAACTAGCCATGTTGCGTTTACTATTGGAAGTAAAAATCTCTCTGGTATTGCGAAAAGACACAATGTCTGATTCTATTGGCACTTGGTGATGATTTGTAGATTAGTTTTGTATATCAAACAATCAAAATCAATAAATATGATTGCCAGTCAATCAATTCCACTCCAAGATCTGTCCGTTTCATCTTAAACCATGTTGTTTAAAATCAGTTCCTAATCAGATCACACGCTTTCACCTAGGAATGACACTTCCGCTTGCTCGTATGCACGTGCAGCTACCAAACGCCACCTCACGGCTTGCGTTGATCATGTGACATTCCCACAATGCTTTGCGGTCAACGCGTGAACTGGTTTCCTGAGATTTTGTGAGGACACCAAGCACTCTCGTGGCGACTTTCGGTCTCCACGACAAGGTGCCTCCCGCGCTTCGGTCGGTCCCCCAATGTCCTCGACTGCACGTGTGACGAGGGCAAAGCAGGCGGACTACTTCAACTACGGCGGTAAACTGACACCGCCCCTATCGTCATGCCCTTAACACTATTCTGTAAGAGTGTGTCGAGTGAGTTCGTCTCATTTAAAAAAGCTTGAGATGCCATTCGTCAATTTGGGCTCAATTTTCTTCCCCTTAAGTTCCAACCGGAGAGATTTTTATTCAAAGGATGTTGTTTCATTTAATCGTCTCGAGATCTTTCATGTTCAACTTCAACAAATCAACTTGTTTTTGACAGAATATACTCAGAAGTGTAATTGCAGGGTGTGATGGAAATGTCCTGTAGTATTTAATTAATAACATTGTAGGGTGAACAACTCAATTAGTCTCGACATAAGAGTCGGTTGAGTACGTTTAAGGCCGCTTTGAACAGTATTTCAGTAATATCGGCGTGCCATGTTAATTGACGCAAAGGAAGCAACAGCAACGCCAATCCTAGATGCTCCTCATTTTGATGAAACCCTTTAGCATCTGCAGTGTCCTGATCATACCAAGAGTTGTTAGTTGGTTGGTTGGATGGTTGGATGGATGGATGGATGGATCGTTAATACCGAGCTTCGCAATATTCCAGAGGTATCTTAATAATCGAATGTAGGCCAGAAAATCCAGTGATTAACATTTAATCTGTTTCACAGACTTTGAACCACATTTCCTACCCCCAGTCTCATATGTAATACAAAATCAAAAAAATTAAAAAGCCTCGACTATCCCCAGGTTTTGTTCAGAATATCGCATCTCAGTGGAGTTGCTTTTTAGTTGAAATAGTTATTTGTTTCTATCAAAATTATGTCCAGCGTTAGTCCAACTGGATATGAAAATCAATTCAAGCATTTGGGATACGAAGACATGCATCAACCAAATATGACCTGCCGACCCTTTTAGTCCTCTTACGACAAGCATGGGACGCTGGGGGTGGTTGGGTAGCCTAGTGGTTAAAGCGTTCGCTCGTCACGCCAAAGACTCGGGTTCGATTCCTCACATGGGTACAATGTGTGGAGCCCATTTCTTATGTCCCCTGTCTTGATATTGCTGTAATATTGCTAAAAGCGGCGTAAAACCGTAGTCACTCACTCACTCATGGGTTGCTTTTTGATAACTTTTAATCAGCAGTTACTTCTAAAACATACCGAACTATGTTTTCACATTAACCATTTCCAGATTTCAAAGCGATATTCATGTTCACAGAGACCGAACAAAAAAGGAAAGAGTATTCCTAAAAAATAATCGTTCACAATCATTACGCCGTCATCATTCACCGAAGAGCGTATAAAACTTGCCTCTAAATATATTCCTCTTAATAAATCAACAAAAGAGAGCGTATGATTGAGAAACTATCACAGCGTTTGCCAAGACCGGGTTCTGTCTAATTAAGTCGGTTATTTCAATCTTTCAATTGTGTTACCTGCAAAACATGTAGCTCAACGAAGCCTGGTATTAACGGAACAGAAAAGCTACTGTTAGCCCTTCACGGCGGTATAGAGGAAGACAGGGCCACATCGATCTTATTCAGGTATTTTAATGGTTTCTTTCTTCCGCACCGAACAGGTAATAATAAGATCGAGACAGCAATTGTTTGGCGTGACCCAAAGGCAGAGCAAGTGGCAGTGCGCACGTGCGCAGTTCATGCCAACAGTTCACGTCACAAAACTGGGTTGCATCTTCGATGGTGGTCGTTGTTAAAGGGCACCTCGTCGCTGCGTCGCACAACGGTTTGTGTGTGCTGTGTAATTAGACGCTGCTCTGATTGGCTCGATGTTATTGTAAGACTCTGAATTAATCCACTGGATTAGCAACGAACAGCTAATCTACAGGTGTGTGGACTTTTGAGTGCCCATAAGGGTGGGGGCTCGTCATTGCTTACGAAGAAGCCATTCTGCATTTGATTTCGGACAAACATAATATTTTTATGTTAAAAAAAAGAAAGTTATTTTGTGAAAGGTTTTGGTGTGTGATTTGTTATAGAAATTCCCTGAAACAATATGGAAATATGATCGAGACTTTCAAATTATGCGGTAAATTCCAGTTAACCAGGATCTCCTTAATCTGGAAACCCGCTTAACACGGGCAATTAATGTTGAAGATTTGTCTATGATATCTTTAATGAAGGACTCTACTACTTGTCCGGGTTTTATAGTCCGTTCTGGAAATTTGTTTATCCAGGTTAATCCAGGTGGTCACGAACATGTACTGGCACACCCAACGCCTCCCCCTTAAACGCTTTGGATTATCTCCATGTGATTATCGTACATTATCTATAGTACACATCCTTATCTTTTCTGTATGTTAACTACAAAAATGAAATCACATCATTTCACACCCCCTCTGAGAGCCTCTTCGCGGCTTGCAGGTACTGGCGTGTTTCAGCAATGCATGAATGCCCGTCAAAATCATCGAAAATAAAATAAAAGATACGTGTCCGCGATCAAAAATATGAATAAAATTTTGACTTGCTAATTCAGCGTAGGAATTACCGGTCACAGTGTGTGTCCATTGTCGAGAAAATTATCTTTGAATAAAACAGAGGTGGGCGCCATCAAAGCGGCCTATGCAATCTCCAAGGCTTATTGTTTGACGGTAGTTGGACACAGGGCTCGAACGGTCGCAGTTTGCTGTAGGGGTCGCCTTTTCCCCTTGTGAGTTTAACTAGACCCTTAGATGTCGTTTCCATTGTTACGAGATTTTTAAGTTCATAAATGTTTGAATTAGAAAGATAAACTAACTCTTTAGGTGCCCGGACTAAGTGAACTATATTGTTTCTGAGGAGTTTCTATATGAACAATTATCATTGATGTCTGAGAATGAATGGTACCAGGTTAGATTTATGGTCGGTTTTTGAATGGGAAACACGTTTCGGAAGGACATTGGTTTAATCATCATAGACGTGTTCGTCTTTTGAATTAGACCAACAGGCCTTAAAGGAAAACGCTTTTAGCTAGTACAGGTGACAATAATTGTGAAATTAACCCGGTTGCGATAGACTAATAAAACTGTCGCTTGATGTATTACACCTTAGATAATCCGAGTCTCCATCGACATATATGACTTTCACAACGAGCTGGAAAAGGCATTGATTTCATCACGTGAATGAATGAAAGTCAGTCACGTCAAAGGTTCAGTGGAGCTGAATAAATAAGTTTATTTAGCTTGTTTTTTTGCAGAGTCACGTGCGTGCCCATTTAAAACACTGAACACAATATTTATTATATAATTATATTATTGTTATTGAATATAGTATACCGTATTATTTTATATTATTATTAAATTCACGGAGCAACAAAATTTCACAGATTGAGGGAGTATGGTTTTACGCCGTCTTTAGCAATATCACGGCTGGGGACACCTGAAATGGGCTTCACGCATTGTACCTATATGGTGCATCGAACCCGGGATTTCGACTTAACGAGCGAACGCTTTAACCACTAGGCTACCCTACCGCCTCTTATAATCTAAAGAAACCTTCCGTAGTCTGGTTCAAGTCGTACATATTCAAGTCTGAACCGCTCATGAGAAAGGTACACCAGATTTTACAAATTTGTTCAGAAGTAATGATATTATCATTCTTAATGAAATCATGACTGAGTAAGTATGGCTTTACGTCGTTTTTAGAAATATCACGGCGAGGAACACCAGAAATGGGCTCCACACATTGCACGCATATGAGGAATCAACCCGAGACTGCAGCGTGACGAGCGAACGCTTTAATCAGTAGGCTACACCACCGCTCATAATGAAATCATGGACAACTAGTTAGTGAGTGAGTGAGTGAGTGAGCTATATGGTGGCGGTCTGTAAATAATCGAGTCTGGACCAGACAATCCAGTGATCAACAGCATGAGCATCGATCTGCGCAATTGGGAACCGATGACATGTGTCAACCAAGTCAGCGAGCCTGACCACCCGATCCCGTTAGTCGCCTTTTACGACAAGCATAGTCGCCTTTTATGACAAAAATGGGTTGCTGAAGACCTATTCTACCCCGGATCTTCACGGGTCTCATGGACAACTAAACCATCAAACACAGACGTAGAAGGATATACATATCTACACTTCCCAAGGTTACGATTACACCGGAAAAGTAAGCGTGTCAGACTTGCTGGCTTGGATGACACATGACGTATCCCAGTTGCGTAGATCGATGTGCATGCTGTTTATCACTGGATTGTCTGATCTCGAATTGATTATTTTACAGACCGCCGCCATATAGTTTGAATGTTGCTGAATTCGGCGTTAAACAACAAACCAACCAACTACTTACCACCAGAAGGTTCTCCTATTTTCAGGAACATCATGCTAATAAATACTCCATGTATGACGCAGGTTACAACCAAGGTGACCAGAACTGTTTGACCAGTGTGAAATTCGACTTTGTTGACAACAAAGACCATGACCGGGTAGAGATACTTGCACGTGCACCCAGAGACCGTATCGTTAACAAGCACGCACTTCGTTTGCCTAACCCTTGCAACGTGCGCCCAGAGATCGTATCGTTAACCAACACGGACTACACTTGCCTAACCCGTGCAACGTGCACCCAGAGACCGTATCGTTAACCAACACGGACTACGCTTGCCTAACCCGCGCAGCGTGCACGGACTACGCTTGCCTAACCCGTGCAGCGTGCACGCACTACGCTTGCCTAACCCGTGCAACGTGCGCCCAGAGACCGTATCGTTAACCAACGCGGACTACGCTTGCCTAACCCGTGCAATGTGCGCCCAGAGACCGTATCATTAACCAACACGGGCTACGCTTGCCTAACCCGTGCAACGTGCAGGCTCCGACTTTCCGAAGCAAACTTAAGTTTTTACTCACATTACAAACTGAGTTTGAAATTTTACTCAGCTGAGTTTCTAACTCAGTTGCGTTTCTCAAAACAAACACTGAGGACTGGTTATTGTGAATAGGAGATGTGGTGATGGCGCAGGATTGGGAGAATATACCTGTCACAAAAGATCAGGAGCTGGTGTTGTGGATTATTGCTTTTTAAACGCAGAAGATTTGTTTGTTTGTTTGTTTAACGCGGCACTCAGCAATATCCCAGCTATATGGCGGCGGTGTGTAAATAATCGGGTCTAGACCAGATCAATAGTATGAGCATCGATCTACACAACTGGAATATGATGACAACCAAGTCAGCGAGCCTGATCACCCGATCCCATTAGTGGCCTCTTACAACAAGCATAGGTTGCTGAAGATCTATTCTAACCCGGATCTTCAAGGCTTAAACGCAGAAAATATATTTTATCTAGGTTTATTAGGATAGGGGCGTTAAATGTGTTCTTATCTCACGTTAAGGACGAAGGACAAGAACCATATTAATGTCAACAGAAATGAGAACGGTACTTATGTGAAATGGAATGTGAATATACGATCTCAGTTCAAAGAAGATATCATTATTAGATAAGTATAATTTAACCGCCATTCCTTTTACCGTCGGTCGAACACATAAATGCTCCTGGTGGTACATATTTCCAGAAAATGGTAGACCAGGTGACTTTAAGAATAGTCACTTTACTAAATGGTTGGATACAAAGCGTTATGAACTCACAAAACATTTTAATTATCCTAAAAAACCTTTGAGAAGCGCCCTTAAAATCGACATGTGGTAAGAACATGTGTTGAGAACATGTGTTGAGAACATGTGTAAAGAACATGTGTTAAGAACTGTCCAAATGTAAACCGAATGACTTTGATGGCTCATTAAATTCAGCAATTTTCTCTAAGGAAATATACTGAATCCATTAGCCATATGAAGGAAAACAAGTCACATTGATAACGATTCTGATTCAATATGCAGCTATATTAAGATAGGTTATAGGAACAGAACGACACTGTATTAAATTTTTTAACTATATATAGATATTAAAAAAGGGATATGTATCATCGTTTTTGTCTATATGGGCTAGTGTACCATTGCACAAGAAGAACACTTACGATGGCCCAATCAGTTTTCGTGGTATTTCTCTTCTAAGCAGTTCTTGGGAATTATGTACCCAAAACAATTAAATGGTAGACATGATATCAGTTTTAATTTAAGGAATGGGGCATCACTGTTCACGTAATTTTTATTTTGGATATTTTGATTGAAAAAGCTCTGAAAGACAATGATGAGATATTCTGTGCCTTCGCAGATTATCAAAAAGCGTTCGACAATATTTACAGAAATGGATTGTGGCTTATATTTAATACACTTTAAATTGGTGGAAAATTCATAGATATTTGTCATCCTATGTAAAGTGATGTTAAGTCATGTATGAGCTATTGCTGTAATGATAGTGAAATATGTAGTTACAAAACTGGTCTTAGACAAGGGGAAGTAATGTCACCCCACGTCTTTTCAATTTTCATTGAAGAATCTATTGGCCAGCGATATGGTCTTAATGAGTAGAACCGCTGCTCAATTACAGTCACATCTTCATTATCTTTCTGTTTACTTTAACATATGGAGATACACTGTCAACATTGACAAATATGAAGTTTAATTTTTAGAAAATTTCAGGGAAACCTGTAGATATGCATTTTATGTATGATTCATGCAATTTAGAAATTGTAAAGCAGTTATAATGATTAAAAATTATCGGTGGTATCAAATGGTACTCGCACTAAACCAGTACTGCATTATGTATCCGAAATTTGGGGGTTGGAAACAAGCTGAGTGCATTGAACGAGTTCATCGTAAGTTCTGTAAAACTAGCGTAGAAGATAGTACTAATGATTTAAGTGTACATGTATGTGGAGAGTTAGGAAATTTCCCCTTAATCATTCAGAAACAAGTAAGTATGATTATTCACCAATTCGATCTATTCGATCCAATATTCTATTCGCTGCTATTCCAACGGTTCTTGTGTCGTCAACGTCAACGACCGTCATCCTTCCACATGCAGCTTCCCAACCGTGTGATATAACTGAAGTCCCGTTCAAAGCTCACCAGGGGCGGTGGGGTAGCCTAGTGGTTAAAGCGTTGGCTCGTCACGCCGAAGACCCGGGTTCGATTCCCCACATGGGCACAATGTGTGAAGCCCATTTCTGGTGTCCCCCGCCGTGATATTGCTGGAATATTGCTAAAAGCGGCGTAAAACTAAACTCAGTCAGTCAGTCAAAGCTCACCAACAATTCGAATGCGAGAAGGATTTCGAAGCGGAGGTAAAATATGAAATGTCCAATCACCGTTAGTGAATCGGGTTTTACGCCACAGTTAGCAATAGTCCAGCAATATCATAGCGGTGGACACCAGAAATGGGCTTCACATATTGTACTTATGTGGGTAAGCGAACCCTCGTCTTCGGCTGACGAGCGAACTCTTTAACTACTACCATACCCGACCGCCCATTATATTTTAGGAAAAAACTCTGTTTTCTGTTGTATGAGTGAGAGCGTACGTGCGCGCGTGCGTGCGAGCGTGTGTACGGTATGGCATGATAGATTAAAGATAGTGATGTGAAAGAATATTGAGTTATTCGGCTTCTTTTGAGCGGAGAAAACTCAAAGTGAGTGAGAGAGTTGGGTTTGAGAAAGGTTACTGTAAACGTACTTATTTTCGCGTGGTGCAATTTTCTCGGAATTGACAGTTTAGACTACATCGCGCGGTCAATTATTCGCGCAATCAGTAATTGCCGGAACTGCCAGCTGTCTCTTTGGCCGCCACTAATAGCAGTGAAAACAAACAGAGTGGCTTAACCTGTCAGGCGGCGTTTATTGCTTACTCACAGGAAATCCCTATCTGTGCGATATACTAGTACACAGTAATCCGTTTACTCACGGAAGAGATGAAAAACACATCAGTCTTATGTTCCGAATTCTGACGATCTGACGAACTAACTTCTACTGCATATGAAGCTCTTTGTGATTTCAAACACGCCGGGTTGTTGTGAATGAGATGATTGAGTGTTAAAGGACTATTCGCTTCATGATGTACTGGTAAATAAAATCTTAATGAATAAATAAAATACTACTGTATTATTTCTTTCCGAGTCGTTTCATGGTAATCTGTTTTGTATCACGGTGTGTTGCGGGAGGAAAGCTAGAAATGATGCAGACCCATCCTTAAGTAAGTGAGTTAAGATTTTTAGTAACATCGATAGTATTTCAGCCACATCAGGACTAAAGCAACTTATACTTTGACAGGAGCAGCTCTTAGACGTATATCGCTTCCATGATCCCCTCATACACGTGCCCCCCACATCAAAGAAAAATACGAATTTCGCCTAAATTGTTCTGAAAATTATTGTTTCTTTAAGAAAATATCATAACATGTTCTCTGCTTTAAAAACTACCATCTGTTGTAGTAGAGACAGAAAATAATTCTATCTGGAACAAAACTGCAGCTCTTCATTAGTTTGTTCTCTGTTCTTCTATCGATTCCAAGAATCGCTTCGATTTACACGGTTGTCGTATTGCCAACGTCAACGACCGGCAACGACCGACGTAACTGTTGTTCATCCTCCAACATGAAGCTGCCACACCGTGTGGTGTAACTGAAGTACCGCTCAACGCTTACCAACAATTTGAACGCGATGAGGATTTCGAAGCGGAGGTAAAATCTAGTTTCTATCCGAACATCGTCCAGGACCGTGTGGTTTGTGCAGGATGAAGGAGTTGGACAGGACGCCGGTTTCAACAATATTAAAGGACTGGATCAGTGAAACAATGTTAAACGCCTTAGTCAGCAACATTCAAGCAAGATCCCATCTACATCGCGAGTGCCTGCAGGTTCAAACGAGATGAATAACTGTTTGTGTTCCTGATATGTACCTGATATGTTCCTGATATGTTCCTGATATGTTCCTGATATGTACCTGATATGTTCCTGATATGTTCCTGATATGTTCCTGATATGTTCCTGATATGTACCTGATATGTTCCTGATATGTTCCTGATATGTACCTGATATGTTCCTGATATGTACCTGATATGTTCCTGATATGTACCTGATATGTACCTGATATGTACCTGATATGTACCTGATATATACCTGATATGTTCCTGATATGTTCCTGATATGTACCTGATATGTACCTGGTATGTTCCTGGTATGTTCCTGGTATGTACCTGATATGTACCTGATATGTACCTGATATGTTCCTGATATGTACCTGATATGTACCTGATATGTTCCTGATATGTTCCAGATATGTTCCTGATATGTACCTGATATGTACCTGATATGTACCTGATATGTTACCTGATATGTTCCTGATATGTTCCTGATATGTACCTGATATGTTCCTGATATGTACCTGATATGTTCCTGATATGTTCCTGATATTTACCTGATATGTTCCTGATATGTTCCTGATATGTACCTGATATGAAATGATCAGAGCACACACGAAGCTGGTTGCATGTTTTTTCATCGACATCTGCCCGGTTGATTGCAGCAAGCCAGAGTCGTCTACAACGCTCGCTTTTCCTCT